CTCACTGCCCAGGCGGGTCTCGAACCCGTGGGCTCAGGCAATCCACTCACCTCAGCCTCCCAAAGGTGCGGGATTACAAGCTGAGCCACCGAGCCCGGCTATAATGTATCATTTTTTATGTTTGCACAAAGCATCACAGTGCAGGATAATCCTTCTACTTTATTCCTGTGGGTGTTTTTGTCTGTTTTTGTTTTGGGGGGGGAGTTGGGAAGGGGGTCCTACTCTGTCACCCAGGCTGAAGTGCAGTAGCACGTTCATGGCCACTGCAGACTTGACCTGCTGGGCTCAGGAGATTCTTCCACCTCAGCCTTCCAAGTAGCTGAGATTACAGGCACATGCCACCATGCCCAGCTTTTTGATTTATTGTAGAGACGAGGTCTTGCCAAGTTGCCCAGGCTGGTCTCAAACCCCTGGGCTCAGGCAATCCTCTCACCTCAGCCTCCCAAAGTGCTGGGATTACAGGTGTGAGCCACCATACTCAGTTTATTCCTGTTTTTTTAAAAAACAAAAACTATACAATTCAATCTTAGATTTTAACATTCTAAACATAACATCTGACCATTACATTTAGAATTTAGTCATTTAAAAGTGTCCATGTATAAAAATATAAATTTTAAAATTACTAAATGTTGTCCTCATAGTCCACTCAGGCCACTGTAACAAAAGACCATAAACTGGAAAGCTTGTGGAGAACTGGTGAGGGCCAAATTTCTGGCTCCTCAGTGGTCCCTTCCTGCTGTGTCCTCACATGGTAAAAGGGAATTCTGGTCTGTTCAGCCCCTTATAAGGGTACTAACCCCATTCATGAGGGCTCTACCCTCATGACCTAATCACCTCTCAAAGGCCCTACTGCCTAACACCATTACATTGGAGATTAAGTTTCAATATAAATTTTGAGGGGACACAAACATTCAGACCATAGCACCCTCAGATAAGCTTTATCTTGAATATATTAAAAATAAATCTATTCACATGACCTTTGAACATCCGCTTAATTATTAGGTGTCAGTCCTGGTTTAACTTATTGAAGACATGTTTCACATATTTATTTAATTACCTCTTGCTTTTAGTGTCTCATTTATAAAAGCCATTTTGAAAATAATTTATAGGGTGCCATTGCCCTTTTAATGCAACAAATATATAATTTTTTAAAAACCTGCATGAAAGCCTAGTGTATTTAACAAGTAAATTATACTTTAGTCTAGTATTAACTATACTAACTTGAATTTACGCTTAGAGAATGGGGATGTTTTTAAGCAGAACTGTCTTGCTGCAGAACTTTCTTTTTTTATATGACCGCATTATGACTCTGGGCGCTCAGGAGTAAGCCTAAGGCCTCACTGCTGTACCAGGAGACTTCTATAGTTACAGAAATAGAGATGCTCATTCACGTGCATGCAAGCAACTCCAACTCAGGAGGAGAATTTGTTTTGTTTGTGAACAAATCCTACTATATATCTTCTTTATTTGCACGAACAGAATGTGCAACATCGTTTTCCATGGGAGACACTAAAAAAACAAAACAAAACACTGGATCAGAATGACCTGCAGTTTCAAATAATAAAAGCTTTCAAGAGACATTTTTAGAATTAAGGATATGCTAACTTTGTTAAATGAAAATATTTGTAACTGTTACTTTCTCACTGACAAAGCAAGTTTCTCAATAAAATATCTATTTTAACTTGCATTGCTGATATCTTTTTGGTGAGTAATCTGCATAATGCAGAAATCATCATGGGGTGTTTCCTGCAAGTCCTCAGTGTTTTTTCTTTGGTGGGTTTCCTGAGTGTGCTCTGTTTTTCATGACCCTATGAGTTCAACATACAGGGCTTTCCCAATTATGCTTTCAGTAAACAATTTTTTATGAATGACTCATAAGACATTAGAGTCCTTTTTACACATTTCATCATTTTTAATATGTAGAGTCTCTGCTAGAAAAAAGATCTGATACAATCTTGATTAAATCATATCCCTTTTATATGAATCTTCAACATAGTCGATTGTTTTCTTAACTCTTTTGAAAAGTTATCATTTTAGACTCAAGGGGTACAGGTACAGGTTTATTACACAGGTGTATTGTGTGATGACAACTGTGTAAATTCTTTGTCAGTACTTGAATGTTCATTTAACAAGTATTTATTGAGCATCTAGCATATGCCCAACACAATATTGAACACAGAGCACACAACAATGGGAACATAGTTTTATCCTCATGCAGCTTCTATTCTACTGTGAAAAACAGATGTTCAACATATAATTATCTTGTAATCAGGATCACATGTGGCTCCAAGAGTATGTACCAGAGACCCGACCTTGTGTGTGGGGAGAACTTCCCTGGGGAAGTCATGTCTCAGCAAAACCCTAAAGCAGCAGTCCCCAACCTTTTTGGCATCAGGGACCAGTTTCATGGAAGAATTTTTCCATGGACCCATGGGGGATGGGGAATGTGCAGTCAAGCCTCACTGCTAATGTTAATCTGTACTTGCAGCCACTCCCAGCACTAGCATCTCCGCCTCAGCTCTACCTCAGATCATCAGGCGCTAGATTCTCATAAGGAGCGAGCGACCTAGATCCCTCGCGTGCAACCGTTCACAAATAGGGTTCTTGCTCCTATGAGCATCTAATGCGGAGATGGAGCTCAGGCATCGGAGCTGTGGGGAGCAGCTGTAAATACAGATGAAGCTTTGCTGGCCCACCCACCTCCTGCTGTGAGGCCCAGTTCCTAACACGCTAGGGACTGGTGGGGTTTGGTCTCTAAGGGAGATCAAAGGATATAAAATCCTGCTCATATAAAAGGAAGCACATGGCAAGCAGCAGCTACAGCCATGAGGAAGGCATGTTCAAGAATGTGAAAAAGCAGTACAGTTGAAGCCTAAACAATGGTGAAAGTGTAATAAGACATGTGAGGAAGGACCCAAAAAAACTGGAATTATCTTTTGGAGGGTGGACCCCTTGCAGTACAGCTAAGTGTTCTAGGAACCCACCGGCATCAGTGTACCAACTAGTGTTGTTGTGAGAGCCTGCATTTGGCTTCCATGAATTTTTTTCTTTTTTTCTTGTTTAGATTCTTTCACCATGTTTGCTCATTTCGTGATGGGTGATTTATGAGCACACCTGCCCACACCGCACTGAGTGTTCAACAGTTTTTCACCAAAAACGGCATGAACCCCAGGCCCCACCTCCCTATTCAATCTCACCCTGAGTGACTTTTTTTTGTTTCCCTGGGTGAAAAAAATCCTCAAAGAGAAACATTTTGCCGATGTGGAAGAGGTGAAATCAAAACATAGCAGAAACACTAGAAGGCATCAAAATTGACAAGTTCAAAAACTGTTTTGAGCAGTGGAAAAGGCATCTTGATAGGTGTGTTGCACCAAATGCAGAGTACTTTGAGGGTGACTGAAGTTTAAACGTGTAAGAATAAATATACAATATTTTATAAATAAATTCCAGGGTTTTTTGGTCTCCCCTTATAGGCAGGGAAGATCAGCAGGATCTTTGGGGCATTTGTTAAGGATTGGGACTTTAAACTAAGGACAATGAGTCCTTAAGAGTTTTAAACTCAATGATAAAATAAACCACCTGATTAAAAAACAGGCAAAAGATCTGAATAGACACCTCACCAAAGAAGATATACAGATGGCAAGTAAGTATATGGAAAGATGTTCAACATCATATGTTGCCAGGAAATTGCAAATTAAAATGAGACACCACTCTACACCTCTTGGAATGGCCCAAATTCAAAACACTGACAACAGTTGTTGATGAGGATGTGGAGCAACAGGAACTCTCATCCATTGCTAGTGGGAATACAAAATGGTAGCCACCCTGGAAGACAGTTTGCCAGTTTATTACAAAACTAAACACACTCTTACCATATTATCCAGCAATTGTGCTCTTCGGGATTTACCCAAAGTGAGTTAAAAATATGTTCACTCAAAAACCTGTGCATGGATATTTATAGCAAATTTATTCGAAATTTTCAGAACTTGGAAGCAACCAAAATGTCCCTTAGTTGTGGTACATCCAGACAATGGAATATTATTTAGCACTGAAGGAAATAAGCTATCAAGTCATGAAATGATATGGAGGAACCTTAAAGTCTATGTACTGCATGATTCCGACTATATGACATTCTGGAAAAGGCAAAGCTATGGAGACAGTTAAAAAAAAAAAAAAAATCAGTGTTTGCCAGGGGTTGAGGGAGGAGGGAGAGGAGGGATGGACGGGCAGAGTACAGAGGAGTTTTAGGACAGCAAAACTATTCTGTATGATACTATAATGGTGGGTGCGTGTCATTATACGTGTATCAAAGTCCGTAGACTGTACCACAGCCGATAAATCCTAATGTATGCTATGAACTTTTGGTGATAATGTGTCAATGGAGGTTCATTAATTATAACAAATGTACAACCTAGTGCTGGGATGTTGACAGTAGGGGAGCCTGTGAGTACATGGAGACCTTGGCTATATGGGGACTCTGCTCAATTTTACTGTGAACTTAAAGCTGCCCTAAAAAAATAGTTGATTTTTTTAAAAGAAACAATTTTGGTAGGGGAATTCATGATTAAAAAAATCTTCACGAGATCACGTCAGCTGTAGTGCCTCATGTGGGCGAAAATCAAGAACAAAAATGGGTGTAAGGAGAACAGTTATCTGCAGTAGTTCAGGTGAGAGGTGGTGCTAGTTTGGTCTAGGTGGCAGCAAAGGAGAAAGTGAAAGCATGCTGCCCTAGAAAGAGAAATAAGATTCACGTATGTGTCCCTGGGTAAGTCAATGAGCTGCTTGCCCCTAGTTCCCTCAGCTATTAACAGAGAGAAAAGAGGAATGTGTGGGTTGGCTGGGGCTGTCATGATTTGTGGACAACCTATCACCAAACCATACATAAGACAAACAACGGAGCACTTGAGTCAGACATCTTTTCCTTTGTAATGGTAGCCCCAGATTAGGCAAGAGCAGTGTCAGGCAGATTATGGATTTATAAGAGAACTTTTCAAACATAATTTCCTGGGCAATCTGTAAATATAATGACCCACCTCTTTATTATCCTAATTGTGCTAACAGTGACCAATAAATATGATAATGTAATTGAATTACAAAAATGGACATTTCTAGAAACCAAAAAATACTTAGTATCATTTTGAGTTGAATTTCTTGTTTATATTTGCAATTTTTAAAAACTTGGTAATGTTTGATCTATAAATACTCATTTATAATTTTCATACTACATAATGCATTATAATTTTCACAATATACCAGTAATTCTATTTTATTGCCACTATCTCATTTCTGTTTCTGTTTTCACAGAAGTTCACAGAGTAAGCAGGAATAAAAGATGAGATTTGAGACCCAGAAACAGCAGCTCCCAAGGTCTTGGTTCTCTTATTCTCTAATCTTGCAGATAAGCTCTTCTAAAAGATATTAACATAAAAGCCTATTTGGGGAGTGGCCCAAAAAATGCTAGATAATTAGTTACCAGCCCAGTGGCCAGGCAAATCGTGACAAAGAACACGTTTGAGTTTAATAAAAGTGCACTTGCACAATTAATATACTGTAATGACAAAGACAATGTGTAAAACTAGAATATTTTCTTGTTAGAGCTAGTTAATATTTGCCTGAAGCACAAGAAACTCACCATTTGAGATATTTTCCATTACTAAGTTAAAATTTCCTTTCTTAATGTAATTGAGAAAGTGATTTGAGGGTACTACACAATTGTTATAAACATAAATCCATGCATCTTTTAATGAGTATTGAATACTCAATAATGGTGACAATGTTACTGCACCTAAAGAAAATAACGCAAGTTCATCACTTTAAGTAACACCTGTTATTCCATGATAAATGTATCCAATTCCAATGTTGTTTTCTTTCTCAGTATTTTGTTAAAACTATATGTAGTTTCAATAGTCATGATCTTGCTTGAGTGCTACCAAAGAATAATCAGATTAGGTATATATCATTTATCAAGGCAATCAACTCTGACTTTGAGGAAGATCGCTGATCATTTATATGATCACTAAGAACTAATATTTGACTTATAAATTCTAATTTCATCTTTTGTACATTGAGGAAAAAGATTAACAATTTCATCCACATCAAGATGCTTGTTTTGAAGGATTGATTCCATCTTTTTTAATAGTTCTTTCTCCAGCTTCCTCATGTTGTCCAGCATTGTTTTGGCCTTTTCCTAAACAATTAAAAATATAAAAATAAACACGTAAATCTAACCAAATTCCACCCTACCCCTACAGACAAGGTTTGTTCATTTTGGTTTTCACTTCTGGTTTGGCTCTCCTCCTATTCTTTAGTTATAGAAAGAAGACTGAAATTCTTGGAAAAATCATTACTCTAGATTGAGTTAATACATTAGTTATTTTTAGTATAAAAGAGAACAATAATTATATAGAATTAATCTATAAGAAAGAAACCAAAAAGACAACAGGAGAGTTGAAAATCTGATATTAATTGTGAATAGGAAAGGTTGCTGAAGATTAAGGCCGACATTTTAAAAATCAATGTAGATCTTTTATATTTAAAACCAGTATTATTAGATTAAGAAAACAGAAATGTTCAAGAGAAAAATCAACTAAAAGAAGACATTTTATCTAAGATTTCCTCCTTGTTTCAAGAAAGGGGAGGCGGGAGCGGTGGCTCAAGCCTGTAATCCCAGCACTTTGGGAGGCTGAGGTAAGAGGATTGCCTGAGCCTAGGGGATTGAGACCAGACCGGGCAACTTGGCAAGACCTCATCTCTACAATAAATCAAAAAATTCTCCAGACATCGTAGTGCACGCCTGTAGTTCCAGCTACTTGGAAGGCTGAGGTGGAAGGATCACCTAAGTCCAGGAAGTTGAGGCTGTGGTGGCTGTGAGCGTGCCACTGTACCCCAGCCTGGGTGACAGAGTGAGATTCCAACTTAAAAAAAGAAAATTGGGAAAAAAGGGTGCATGACTTTTATAGAGAGGAGTCATTAAAATATTTTATGAACCACCACAATCAATTATAGGAAAGTTATCTAGAGAAAAAGTATGTAAGAAAATAATAACTAGAAGAGCATAATTTTCAAAATTTGAACCATTATGGGACAGAACTCCACAAAACAAAGATTCTTAACGTTATTTAACATGGACTACAGTATGCAATTTTTTTCTGAAGGAACACTACATTTCATTTCAGTGGAGAAAAATGAATTCTGTCTAGAAATGCTATTAGAATAATTAATTACCATTTTGGAAAACAAAATTATAATCCCTACTTCATTTCATACACAAAAGTAAATTCCAGATGGATTAAAGAACAAATTTTTTTAAAACACACATACATACTTGAAGAAGTAATATTTATTTTGAGGTAAGGCAGGCTTTCTGAAACATAAAATCAAAACGCCTAAAAACAAAAGTACTTATTTACAAAGCCAGGTCTAGAACCCAGCTCTTTCAATCTTCCCTCAAGTTCCATCATCTTTCCACTACTTTAAATGTTGTCAATCAACATTTAATGCCTACTAAATACTAAAATAGTAACACCTTTAAAATTTTTATTATAGTATTACTTTGCAAAAAATGTCAATCAGCAATTTAATTTAGTTTAACAAACATTTAATACTAAGTTTACAAAACCCACCTTCCAGAGCATTATTCTAAGAAAAAGGGAGCTGACAATTATTAGGAATTCTTGTAAACAATGAGGCCTGTGTGGAGGCTGCTCAGGGACCATGAGAGGAAAATCCCTCAAGACTAGAAGCTCCTAAAACCTATCTCTAAGGGACTTAAGCAAAGACAAGAAAAAACTAGGGGGCTCGTCATTGTTCCCAACACTGTTCTGGTCGAAGAACAAGGCAAGCCCATGGCAGTGGGTGACACCTCTGGTCCACTGGCTTGGGCCCTAATCAGTGCACAAAATTGGCTCCAGTGCTTGCTCCTCACTCCATGCCACTAGGTTACCAAATAGCATGTAGGCCATAGGTCAGAAGTAAAAACAAGCGGATCCCAGATAAAGCAGAAGCATGTCAAGAATTCATAGCAAGTAGGTAGTTTGGCCAAGTTCTATGTTTTAAACATAAGCAAAACAGGGGAGGGGAAATTCACAGCTTAAAGTGGTAGTGAAGGTTAAATGAAATAATTCATGTAAAAGTACTATGGTGCTTAGTGTATAATAAGTTCTTAGTGAACATTAGCTATTGTTGTTATGTTTAATACACTAAATTTCTCTAAAAGATTCACAACACATGTAATTCCTAATCAAAGATTTTTTAAAAATACAGCTCTAAGCCGGGCTCGGTGGCTCAGCCTGTAATCCCACGCCTTTGGGAGGCTGAGGTGAGTGGATTGCCTGAGCCCGCGGGTTCGAGACCCGCCTGGTCAGCGAGACCTCATCTCTACAATAAATCAAAAAATCAGCCGGGCGTGGTAGCGCACGCCTGTAATTCTGGCTACTCAGAAGGCTGAGGCGGAAGGATCGCTGGAGCTCAGCAGGTTGAGACTGCGGTAGCCGGGAGTGGCCACTGCACTCCAGTCTGGGCAACAGAGTGAGACCCCAACTCAAAAAAAAAAAAAATACAGCTCTACTTACAGTCTGAGCATCTAAACTTTTTTTTCTTTTAAGTAGGGATCTCACTCTGTAACCCAGGCTGGAGTGTAGTGCTATGATAATGGCTCACTGTAACCTCAACCCCCCTGGATTCAGGCATCCTCCTTCCTCAGCCTCCTATGTAGCTGGGACTACAGGTGAGTGCCACTACACCCAGCTAATTTCTAAATCTATTTTTTATATGAAAGAAGGAAAGCTGACACTCTGAAGTTCAAAATGAGGATTGAATCACACATTAAACTATTCTTAATGATACAACAGAGAACATAATCTAATCATACCTTATTATGATCTCCTACTTCCAATGCCTGTTGATGTTTTTGGTACAGAGGGTGTCTTCTGTCAGGCTTAAAGTGTGTCTTCTTTTTGACTGGATCTTCAAGTTCAAATGTTGGTGAACTGGTATCCAACAGTTGTGAAATATGTGGCACAAATATGAAAGGCTTAAAAATAGATCTAGAAGCAAGAGTCTTTATTAAATTTCCATGTCAATATGCAAAAAATATTCAGCATTATTCTAAGTCTTCTAAGATTCCTCTAATTTAGAAGTTCCTGTTAATGCTACATATTAAACCTCTCCTGTCATAGTTATTATATCCATGCCTGGCTTCCCTGGGATCTCCTCTGTGGCAAGAACCACACATTATTTAGTCTTGTATTCCCATGAACCTAACAGAGGATCTGACACATAAACACTGTCAGCAAAGTAATTGTTTGCGTTTCCCACTTCAAATTCCATAGCTGAAGGGTAAGAGCAACCCTCAACTTCATAGATTGAGGATTTGGACTTGGGGGGGAACATCAGCACCTGTGATGGCATGGGGATAGCTGAATATGAGGACTATTAACACTTCCTTCCCATAAAAAAAATATTCCATTATGCATGTATGGAAATTGCAGGCTAAAGCCTGAACAGAAAATAAATTTTAAAAATTATTGTCCTATTTGTGCAACAAAAAGTTAGCCTGACAAAATTATCAACATACTAATGATGCTACGCCACCCTGACCATGTGCTGGTTTATAGCATTTTGTGACGTCACCTCTCAGGATCAGGTGTCCCTGTAAAGAAGTGAATGCAAGGAAGGCTGGAGTCTTGAGGCAAAACAGAAACCATGCTTGCAGTGGTCAGGAATTCTCCCTCCATATTAATGCCACTTGGTTTATCTCGGAGAATTTCCATCATTGTTTCAAAAGTTATGTTTCCTAGGGAAATAATTTTTAAAACCATCAAATACATATGCATAAATGTAGACTGCTTTCTCTACTGATAATATTAGTCTTAGTATAAATTAAAAGATTGATCATTTGACAAAATGTATCAACTGCAGTTAGACTAATTCCACTGTCACACAGAAGATATTTTTAATTTTTTTTTTTTGAGTTGGGATCTCACTCTCTCACGTAGGACATAGCTAGAGTGCTTTGGCACAATCACCAGCTCACCACAGCCTCAATCTCCTGGGCTCAGGTGAACCTTATACCTCAGCCTCCTGAGTTGCTGGGACTACAGTACAGGTGGACATTACTACAACCCACTAATGTTTTGGTTTTTTGAAGAGATAGGTCTTGCTATGTTGCTCAGGCTGGTCTCAAAGTCCTGGGCTCAAGTAGTCCTCCAGCTTCAGCACCCCCTAAGTGCTGGATGACAGGAGTGAGCCACTGCGCCCAGCCCACAAAGAAGGCATTAAAAAATATATATATATATATATACATATATATATATGACTGGGCATGGCAGCTCACATCTGCAATCCCAATGCTTTGGAAGGCTAAGGAGAAAGGTCACTTGAGGTTGAGGCTGTTAAATAAATAAAGACCATACTGGGCAACATAGCCAGACCCCGTCTCTACACAAAATTTAAAAAATTAGCAGTGGCTCACATCTGTGGTCCTAGGTACTCAAGAGGCTAAGGCAGGAAGATTGCTTTATCCCTGGAGTTTAAAGTTACAGTGAGTTATGATTGCTCTACTGAACTTCAGCCTTGGTGGCAGAGAGAGACCCTGTCTCTAAAATATATGTGTGTGTACAAACACACACACACACACACACACACACACACACACACGTATACAAAGTCTGAAAAACATTGTAACAAATAAAAACTTCCTAAGGAAAAAAATCAACAATGCAAAACTACACTCAATGTCCTTACAGAATTCTTCAATACATATTTAATTAGCATTGAACTAATATTATTAACTATTAACTGAATCTGTTCTGAGAATCAAATAGTAGAATACTGTGCTTAGCTTCAAATATTATACAAGATATTCTGTACAAAATAACAAATTATTTTTTCTTTTCTTTTCTTTTTTTTTTTTGAGCCAGAGTCTCACTCTGTTGCCCGGGCTGGAGTGCAGTGGCATGATCATGGCCACTGCAGCCTTGACCTGCTGGGCTGAGGTGATCCTTTTGCCTCAGCCTTCCAAGTAGCTAGGACTCCAGGGGTGAGTGGTCATAACAGTTTTTTTGCTTTAGTGTAGAAATAAGGTCTCGCCAAGTTGCCTAGGTTGGTCTCAAACCCCTGGGGACTCACGCAAGCCTCTCACCTCTGCTTACCAAAGTCCTGGGATTACATTCAAGAGCCACTGTGCCTGGCCCTATTTTTTCAATAATAATTTCTGTGCTTGATATTAATAATCTTATACAAAAATGTGATTTGGAACCTGAACAGAAATGAGGAAGACAAAATACGTTATTGGTTGATGGAATTTGAATATGCACAATTCTGCTGGCCTACTTTAAACGTTTAAATATTTATTGTGTGTGATGAAATATTGGATGTGATTATATTTTATTTCTTCTTTCATGTTTATAGTCTAAAAATTTAAGGGAATTTTTTTGGAACAAAGAGAAAAGTAGGAAAATAGAGAAAAATCTATTTTAACTCTTCAGTAAACATGTGTCCTTGGTTATAAAGAGCATCAGAATTTAGTATCTGCAAGACATAAACAAAAAATGTAAAAAGCCAAAGATACCTTCAGATAGCTCTGCGCCTTGCTGTACACATCCACTGTCAAAGATGTGGCCATGATGTAGCCTATGACAAAAACCTATACTCTTACTCTAGCCAATGTAGTCCTCCAAAAAATAGCCTGCTTTTCTTCTCCCATGTCATTAATTCTCTTCTCCAAAATTTGACTCCTAATCCCTCCTGAATTAAATTCCAATTTTTTCATATTAATACTAAGCTCAAATGAATGACCTCTTCATATCCATCTATAAGCATTCTTGGTCTTTTTTCTATATTGGTCCTACCTCTGTTATTAGATTATACATGCTCTGAAAACAAGGATGGGATTTTTCTCTTTTTTTGTTTTCACTCATTCAACAAATACTTGTTGGGCATCTATTAGATGCTAAGCACTGTCCCAAGCATAGGAGATATATATATGTAGAGAAATATATATACACTATAGATGTAGATACATATCTATGAATATCAAGAAGTGACAGGCCCCTGATTCAATTTCAACTGAAGTAACCACAGTTAATTCAATGAGGATCTTTTCTGAAAAGTTTCAGAATAGTTTAAAAGTTTTTCTTTGAATAAATACAAGAAATTCTCATTATCAGGAGAAAACTGGTACCAGAAAATAGACACTTGAAGTAACAAGGGTGGAGGGGAGGGATGAAAAATCACAATCAGATACAATGTGCACTAGTGGGTACACTCAAAGCCCAAACTTCTTCACCACTATATAATGCATCCATGTAACTAAAAATCATTTGTTCTCTAAAGCCATTGAAATCTTTTTAAAAATTAAAACTAATGAAATCAAAATTTCTTGGTAAATAGTGGAGGAGAAAGGATTTTTTAATGTAAAATAAAAATATTATAGAAATATGTTTATTTAAGCTTATAGGTAACAAAATATAGGTTAAAATGTTAATTTTAACCTCCTGCCTTATCTTCCTGAATAGCTAGGACTACAGGGACATAGCACCACATTCTTAGGAAAAAGAATGAGGTATAATTTTCCCAGCAACATTTTTAAGAGAATACGATTGCATTTGACTTTTGCAGCATGATCGTAAAGATAATTTTTATAGGGTATAGTGTGTGTACCTGTAGTTCCAGCTACTTGGAAGACTCAGGTGGAAGGATCATCTGAGCCCAGCAGGTCAAGGCTGCAGTAGTCGTGAGCATGCCGCTCCAACCTGGGCGACAGAGACTCTGACTCAAAAAAATAAAAATATGGCGAGGATGCAGAGAAAAAGGAATGCTTCTACACTGCTGGTGGGAATGCAACTAGTGCAACCTCTTTGGAAGACAGTGTGATGATATCTGAAAGAACTAGAAACTGACCTTCCATATGACCTAGCAATCCCCCTGTTGGGAATACACCTGGAGGAACTCAAGTCATTCTACCATAAAGATACCTGCACACGCATGTTTGTTGCAGCTCTATCCACAATAGCAAAAACATGGAATCAATCATACTGCCCATCAAAGCTGCACTGGATTAAAAAATGTGGCACAATGGAATATTATGCAGCCATAAAGGACAAACATGGACTTCGCAGCAACTTGGATGAATTTAGAGCCTAAAATACTCCACGATCTATCATAGAAACAAAGAACAGAGTACCATGTGTTCTCACTCATAAGCAGACCTTGAACAATTATCATAATACTATAAGAAAAGGATTGGCAGTAGCGGGAAACTGCCGCGGGGGCGGGGGGATTGGCAGTTGAGGGAAACTTCCAGGGGAGGGAGGGGCACACCTCATCAACAAGGGTACCTGCATAATGAACATTTGTACACCTAATCTGGAACTATATCCCACATCTTTAAAATTAAAATTAAAATAAATAAATATAAATAAAAATCAGTCAACCATGTAAAAAAAGATAATTTTTATTAAAATATTTGAGGAACACAAAAAAATGATAAATGTCTGAGGTAATAGATATCCTAAATACCCTGATTTGATCATTACACATTGTAAGCAGGCATCAAAATACCACAGGCATCCCATTAATATGTACAACTATTATGTATCAATAAAAAAATTGAGTACTTCATCAGTTTCTCAAGTCCCCCTCTTAATCCTTTAATATTCAAGTCATTTTTTTTAAGCACTAAGTCATGTTATCATCCTTACTTTTCTCTTGAGTTGTTAATAGGTTTAACTCTCTACCTATTTTTTATTTGTCAACTGAATCTCAACTGAAAGTTTGGGGTATTTCCCAGCCCTTTTCTTCTTGGTTGTCCCTCAAATCCAATTTTTGTCCCTAAGACCTAGTGAGACTGCCAAAATGTCTATTTTGCTTCTAAGGCTCTTAGCTGCTTTTTTCTTTTTTTTTTATTTAAGAGATGAGGTCTCACTCTGTCAACCAGGCTGGAGTCCAATGGTGCAATCATAGCTCACTGTAGCTCATGAGCTCAAGCATCCTCCCACCTCAGCCTCATGAGTAGCCAGGACTATAGGCACGTAACACCACATCTGGCTAATCAAAACAATTTTTTAAAAAAATTTTGTAGAGACAGGGTCTCACTACATTGCCCAAGCTGGTCTTTAACTCTTGGCCTAAAGTGATCCTCCTACTTTGGCCTCCAAAAGCTCTGGAATTATAGGCATGAGTCACTGTGCCTGGACTTAGCAGCTACTTTCTGCTTGATTTCTCAGTGTCTCATCCTACCTTTGTGCTGCTCAGAAGTCAGTGATTGCTTTAAGGATAAACTGACTTTGAATCAGGCTCTTCTTAAAGTGTAGACAGTGTTTTCTCAGTCTCTGGGATCTAGGCTCTTGGTCTCCTAAATGTTTTGAGTGTTCATCCATGCCATCGAACACCAGGGGTTTTTCCCTCCAGATATTCCAGTTATTCTTTTAAGGTTAGTTTAATACCAGCTACTCCTTTGTAAATGGCTTGTGCTTTTTAGCCATACCACGACACTGATATGTCTCCCATTTATTAAGTACATCAGTCTTTTTTACTCTGAGATGATACCAATTTCTTCATAATAAAGAATGTGGTGGGTCCATATTGTAATAAGTACAGTTTTTTAAAAAAATGTAGTTTCTTCCAACAGATATTTTCAGATACTTTATATGGAAATGTTTAATTATTGCATGAAATTAGTTCTAAAGAAATGTTTAACATGGTTGACTGACCACAGGTTTTTCTTTCTTCTTTCCCAAAACCCTACTATAATGACAGTAAAGGAGGAAAAATAAAACAACTTATAAAAGTACATCAAGCGTGAAACACAAGAATCTCTGAGATGACAAGAAAACACTCACAGCAAGTCTGTACTCAAAATGTGATTTTGGAACATTTCAAATTAACAGTGACTTCCATATAACATAAGCAAACGTTCTGCCCTCAATTAATCATGC